TATCAACATGAAGTGATCATCAAAACCAAGGCCAAACATTTAGTATTTTAAAATCTCCCTTGATAATGTACTTACTTTTAAGTTAATAAGTTACCAATGGTATCTGATGACCGAGGTTGCAGGGAACAAGGCATGAGCTGGTTACAGCGGATGAGCTGATACACACTTGCAGTAGTGAATGTGCAGTAACTCCTGGACAGAGGGGAAGGAGCAGGGCATCGTCAGCAATTCTGAAGGCAGAGGAGTGCGGACAAACGTGTCCGCGTTGTGAGTCAGTTTGGAATAGGCAGTTGAGGGCTGACTCAGAACACCTGGACTGGGGTACAGATCTGTTAGCAACTGTTGTGTGGTCTTAAGCATGTCTCTTCTTTGATCTGTGGAGTAACTACCTTGCGCTGGACTCCTAGCCGTTGTTCTAATCTAGACCCTCTGAGCAACGGAACGCATTCCATCCATGACAGTGGCTCAGTTCACGGGGTTGGGAAAACAGGTACGAATCTGCCTCCAGATGAGGCCTGGTCCTCTTGATGAACATTTTTAAAAGTTTATTAGACCCCTTTCCTTGTAGAAATAGTTGTGTGATTTAAAATTTCTTCATGGGATTCTTGGCTTAGTGTCTGGCCCCTCTGCTGGTCCTTCAGCTGCATTAGAGTGAGGACCTTGAGTATTTCTGTCATGGTGTCCATAGCTTCCTCAATGACTGGCTGTAATAGTCTCTCAGTGAATAAATATGAGATGGATGGATGGATGGATGGATAGATGGATGGATGGATGTATGGGTGGGTGGATGGATGGATGGATGGATGGGTGGATGGATGAGTGAGTGGATGGATGGATGGATGGATATGTGGATGGATGGAATGGAAGGATGGATGGATGGATGGATGGATGGATGGATGGATGGATGGATGGATGGATGGATGGATGGATGGATGGATGGATGGATATGTGGATGGATGGATGGATGGATGGATGGATGGATGTGTGGATGGATGTGTAGGTGGATGGAATGGAAGGAAGGATGGATGGATGGATGGATGGATGGATGGATGGATGGATGGGTGGATCGATGGATGGATATGTGGATGGATGGAATGGAAGGATGGATGGATGGATGGATGGATATGTGGATGGATGGATGGATGGATGGATGGATGGATGGATGGATGGATATGTGGATGGATGGATGGATGGATGGATGGATGGATGGATGGATGGATATGTGGATGGATGGATGGATGGATGGATGGATGGATGGATGTGTGGATGGGTGGGTGGATGGATGTGTAGGTGGATGGATGGATGGATGGAATGGATGGATGGATGGATGGATGGATATGTGGATGGATGGATGGATGGATGGATGGATGGATGGATGGATGGGTGGATCGATGGATGGATATGTGGATGGATGGAATGGAAGGATGGATGGATGGATGGATGGATGGATGGATGGATGGATGGATGGATATGTGGATGGATGGATGGATGGATGGATGGATATGTGGATGGATGGATGGATGGATGGATGGATAGATGGATGGATGGATGTGTGGATGGGTGGGTGGATGGATGTGTAGGTGGATGGATGGATGGATGGAATGGATGGATGGATGGATGGATGGATATGTGGATGGATGGATGGATGGATGGATGGATGGATGGATGGGTGGATGGATGTGTAGGTGGATGGAATGGAAGGAAGGATGGATGGATGGATGGATGGATGGATCGATGGATCGATGGATGGATATGTGGATGGATGGAATGGAAGGAAGGATGGATGGATGGATGGATGGATGGATGATGGATGGATGGATATGTGGATGGATGGATGGATGGATGGATGGATGGATATGTGGATGGATGGATGGATGGATGGATGGATGGATGGATGGATGGATATGTGGATGGATGGATGGATGGATGGATGGATGGATGATGGATGGATGTGTGGATGGATGGATGGATGGATGGATGGATGGATGGATAGATGGATGGATGGATGTGTGGATGGGTGGGTGGATGGATGTGTAGGTGGATGGATGGATGGATGGAATGGATGGATGGATGGATGGATATGTAGATGGATGGATGGATGGATATGTAGATGGATGGATGGATGGATGGATGGATGGATGGATGGATGGATGGATAGATGGATGGATATGTAGATGGATGGATGGATGGATATGTAGATGGATGGATGGATGGATGGATGGATGGATGGATGGATGCATGAGTAGATGGATGGATGGATATGTGGATGGATGGAATGGATGGATAGATGGATGGATGGATGGATGGATGGATGGATGGATGGATGGATGAGTGGGTGGATGGATGGATGGATGGATGGATATGTGGATGGATGGAATGGAAGGATGGATGGATGGATGGATGGATGGATGGATGGATGGATGGATGGATGATGGATGGATATGTGGATGGATGGGTGGATGGATGGATGGATGTGTGGATGGGTGGGTGGATACATGGATAGGTGGATGCATGCATGAATGGATGCCCAGGAAGATGCATCTCACAGGAGAGTTACTGGAGTACATGATCTGTAATATCCTCTGCAGCCACAAATAATAGGCAATGTTTATATATATATAAATATATATATATTTATAAAGCTTCTCTGTCTTTAATCAGACTTGTTGGCATTTTCCTCTACCTTCTGCCAAGTACAGTTTCAGTAGGACCAGCTTGTTCCACCTGCTCCTCACTATGTCGGCCTCCTGTGAAACCCAGTGAATGCTTCCTTCTGCCAAAGAGGCAGACTTTTCCTTGAGAACAAGACTGTTTGAAGGTCAGGTCTGTAAAAGTCCATCTCTCCTATGTTAAAGGAAAAAAAAAAGAAAGAAGGAAGGAAAGAAAATAGTTGAATATGAATCTTATATACACAAAATCTAAGAAATAGGAAGGAAGCTCTTTCATCTCTGCCGTGTGAACATCACCCCTCATCAGGACACAGAGGGCGCTGTGTGCTGTTTCCTCAGTAAGGCTGGGATGTGCGTGCGTGGCTCGGGGGCCGCGGCTTGTATTCCTGAGCTCTGGGCCACAGTGCGCCTCGAGTGTGCATTGTCTCAGCTCTGACCCGTGTCCTGCTGGGGTCTCGTCCTGCGACCTGGCAGCAAGTGATTGCTGCTGAGTTTCTGTTGTGCTTTGGTTTTTAAAGAGAATATCAGTGCTTTAAAAAAAAATCCCCTGAAGTTTGCTCCTAACAGACAAAAAAGCAAATTGAGATCTTCTATGGTGAAAGTTTAATTATTTCTTCCTGTGCTGACAGGAAACACTCACAGTACAAAGGTGTATTTCAAGAACACAATAAAAAAAAAATAGTTTTCTTACAGTGACAAGAATTTCCTGGAAGAACTGTCACCTTGTCTTTCCCCACATACTGTCCTGTCCTGAGGCACCTGCCCAGCAGGTGGGCGGAGCTCCTGGAAGCACTTCTCAGCGAAGGGCTCAGGGAGCCCTCGGCACGCGGTGGGGGCGCAGACCAGTGGGGGCGCAGACCAGTGCGGCCGCGACGGAAATCAGCGTGGGGTTCTCAGAAAATTAAAAATGGAACTGCCTGGTAACCTAGCGATTACACTTTGGGTTATTTATCTGAAGATTATAAAAACACTGATTCGAAGAGACATATGCACCCCCATGTTCACTGTAGCAGTGTGTCCCATAGCCAAGATACAGAAGCAACTGGGTGTACATCAGTAGGTAAATGGATACAAAATATAACTCAACTATAAAAAAGAATAAAATCTTGTCATTTGTGGCAACACTGATGGATCTAGAGGGTATTATGTAAGTTAAATAAGTCAGAGAAAAACAAATATTGTATTATTCCAAGCATGTTTGCAATCTAACACACAAAAGTAATAGATACAAAGGACAGGTGGGTGGTTGCCGGTGTGGAGGGGGTTGGGGGGTTGGCAAATGGGTGAAGATGGTTAAGGGGTACAAACTTCCAGTTACAAACAAGTAAATCCTGGGGTGCGGTGAGCAGATGGTGTCTGGTCACCGACACTGTGCTCTCTGTTTGGAAGGTGCTAAGACAGCAGATCTTAAAAGTTTTTATCACAAGAAAAAAAGTAGTAATGTGACAGGTGGTAGCTAGAGGTATTGTGGTGGTCGCTTCTTGGTATACACAAATATGGAGTTATCACATGGCACACCTGAAACTAACATGCGGTTCTGTGTCGATCAGACCTCCACAGAAGTGCGCGAGGGCGGAGACTTGTCTCGTTGGAAGGCAGCGTTGAGTCAGGACAGTGGGTGTCAAACGGATGTTCAGCCGGGAGGGCGCCTGTGGGACAATAGGGGGCCAGCCCCAAGGGTGCCCAAGGCAGGGCATGCAGACTGGTGTCTGCAGGTGACTCCAAAACAGCAATAGAACAAACTATCATTTGCCTTCTTTCTAGTATTTTCCATGCTCCACAACTTTAAACAAAGGTAGAGTTACAGTTCTTCTCCCCTCAATGACCGCCCTTGAACAGAGGCTGGTAACAGCTAGACCCGTGCCCCGTTAAAGCAGGCCGCTGTAAGATGGGCAGGACTTGTGGGTGTTACCGACAAAAGGAAAGGGTTGGCCTGGAGGGAGCATTTTCTCAGAGAAGAGGTCATGATCGGCACAGCCTTCCAGGGCAGCAGGGTGCAGAAAACACTGGGCCCGTCCAGCCTGGGACCACGCAGGGCCTCCGGTCCCCAGGCCAACTTGATCCCTGACTCAGAATGATTTCATTGTGAAAGTTGTAGACCTTTATTCCTGAACTTAATCCACTATTCTGATTGGTTCTTAAATAGTTATTCATTATAGCCATTTTCAAAAGTAACAGGTGTTTAAACACTAACGTCCAGGCTCCAGATGTGGCAGCCACGAAGCGATCACGTGGGTCTCCTGGACAATCATTCTGAGTGCATTGCGGCCCGATGGGGTCTGAGCTCTGACACTGAACCGGTGTGTTCTGCCTTTGCACCTCTTCACACAGGTAACAAATACTGGGTGTTCAAGGACACGACGCTGCAGCCGGGCTACCCTCATGACCTGGTCACTCTGGGAAGCGGAATCCCCCCTCACGGCATCGATTCAGCCATTTGGTGGGAGGACGTAGGGAAAACCTATTTCTTCAAGGGAAACAGGTCAGTGCGCTCTCTGGGGAGAGCAGTTCAGCTGTGTGTGGAGAAGCGGGCATTTCTGGTCTGTCATAGGCATGTACTGTTGATGAAAGAATTGTTTGTGAGGATATCAACACAAGAATTGTGGAAATCTGGAATGGAAATGCTTTTAACATTTTAAAATAATAGTCAACGTAAACATTCCTCTACCATACCCCAATAATATGCCTTCTTTCTGAAATTAAATATGCGGTATATACTCTTTCTCTTCTGTAAGCTCAGCCTGCCTCAAAGCTGCGGAGGCGGGTGGGCCTGCGATGCCTGCTCTCACCCTTCCCCTCCGGTGTTTAAAAGTCCTTCCCAGAGGCTTCTGTTGTGCTTTAATATCACAAGTTAAAAATTTACACTGCAGAAATGTACACTTGCAGGCTAGGCATGAGTGTTATTTCTCAGGACCCTGTTTGTCAGGCACCGGCAGCAGGTGTAGGAGCTGGCCAGACCGGCCCTGTCTGCGTGTTCTCGCTTGAAGTGCAGCATTCCTTCCCTGCGCCCAGTTCTGTCCTCTCGTGATGTCACCCGCAGGGCTTGTGAGACTGAGCGGATTGTCCGCCTGCGACTTGCAGTACTTACTGCGCACGCTCAGCTCCACCCTGCCCACTGCTAACGTGGGTCACATGTAAAATATAAGTGGGAGACTATACTGTTTATTAATTTAAATTAATACAATGTTAAGTTTAAAAAGTAATGGTTTATAAAGTAATGCAGATAAATTCAAATTCTAATGACACTATTACTAGTTGCATCAAAATGTGACATTCATAAGGAACCTCGTTGGTGTGCAGAGGACGTAATGTGCTACTTTATAAGGAAGTTTTAAGCACATGCACACACACAGGTGTGTGCACACATGCATACAAATGTACAGGTGTGTGCACATGCAGGCACATGCATACACACACGCACACATGAACACACATACACACGTACTCGCATACACACACATGAACAACAGGCTTTAATGTCCAACAAGCTAGATTTGAGTTTCCCTCATAATCTTAACCCTATACAATGTTTCCAACTTTAAGAAAGGATAGAAATTTTGTTTGTTTTGCAGTTCGTATTTTTTTATTGCAAATAATTTCAAACATTGAGCTCTGTCTTTGAATCCAATGATCCTATGATTTACCTCCATAGATTAGAAAGCATATTTTTCAATGTATTCTGTTACTAACATTTTATACATTAGATCTGTATATATTTCTATAGCAAACTATTCACAGAGCTTGCTCAGTATTTCTTACTAAATCACACACACTTAAAAAGCTTCACAAAACTTTCATGAAAGTAGAGACCTTAGGTATGGCCACAGCACACACAGGGCTCTGGGCAGGACGTGGGCGGCGGGGCAGGAAGGAGGATGGAGAGGTTGCCTGGCAGCCAGTGACCACTGATGCGAGGGTGTCTGCAGACCCGGCATCGGCTCCGAGGTAACAACGCCACAGGTGTTCGGGCTGAGCTCCTCGGCTGCTGTAACTCTTGGGACTCTCAGGACTAGGTTCAGTGCCGAGTGGCCAGGGTTTTTGTTTTTTAGGTGTCTCTGTCTTTCTCCCTTTCCTTCCCTTTTGTTCCCTTCCCTTCCCCTTCCCGCTCTCTCTCTCTCTTTCTTTTCTTCTTTACGGAAGCAGTGGACACACCAGGCTGAGCAGCTGTGCAGGAGAAGTGATCTCGCAGAGCAGGGCGGAAGCTGTGTCCCGTGGCAGCGTCAGTGTCGCCCCGAGGGCCTGGGCTTGCCCAACAGCCCTGCTCGGGTGCAGGTGTCCCTGCTCTGAATGTCTCCATCCCGAAAATGGAGCACTTTCGGAGAAACTTAAGTTTAGAAATCAAATGTGGACTACCTCAAATCCATGCAATCGATGAAGTTTGGGTGCCAAATGCATGGTAGAATAAAGCCTAGAATAAACAAGACAAGGAGTTTTAGCTCATTTATTTCCTCCTCAGGAAGCTACGCACAAATACAACACAATGTGCAGAAGCTGTACGTTGATTGGAAGTTCTGTTTAAATCATTGCTTTGTAAGTTTTGAAAAGATGTAAATCAGGACTCCAATTCCCATATGTGATCTTCTATGAGATTTTATGAGCTACGGATGTTTTATAAACACATTCCTCCATATTTGTATAATCATATAATTCCAAAGTCACAACATTTATGTGTTTATAAATAATTTGTCCTGGATTACAAGTCGGCGGAGAAGACATGGTCTCTCACTGAAACACGAAACAATAGGTCGGTGCTTTTACAGAGTGAATCGGGGAGTCTTTCTTTCTTATGTTGTATCTTTGCAATACTTATTCATTGTAACATTTTATATATTTTCTATGTATATTTTGAGAAAAAAACAAACATATTTAGAATGTATTTTCTTTACTGATTTCTACCTATTCTCCCATTGGCATCTTTCTGCTTTAAAAAAAAAAATGGGCTGGAGGCACAGGCTTGAGATACTTGACATATAAATCGTATCACGAGCAGGGAACTGATGAAGTCTCCTAACTGTAGAGATGAAGAGGGTGAAACTATGGTTCTTTAAACAGCTCTGTGCACTGAGATCGCAGCTCCCAGCTTCTGCTCACTGGCAGCACGGAGCTCCTCCTCAGATTCCAGCTGCCCTTTCGTCCTGTGCTATAATTTGATACTTGGATACACTCTGATCTTCATAGCATTTAGCTGCGAAATGCTGTGTTCCTGACTCATCTCTCAGCATCGCCTCACCACGGTGTCCAAGACTCTATGGCCACACTTCACTCTAAGCTTAACCTTTGAGGAAGTTAAGAGATTTTCAAAGAAGGAAGTCAAAATATAGGTCCAGTTTGGTTTGATCTATTATTGGTCTGATTACCACTAGCAGGGAAACAGAAACCTGCGTTTATTTCTTCCAGCCTATGTTGTGTGTTTATGAAGTTGTTATTTATGAAGTCATTATTTAATATAAATGGGTCGTTTCAATTCTGTTGCACTTCGAAGAATATCCCTGAGGAGTGAGACCGTGGATGGTTATTTAGTTGGGGGAAGGGGGCCTGAGTGTGTGCCGACTGCACAGCAGCAAGTAGTCTCGACCCCGAGGAAAGCCAGGAGCAGAGGCCGAGAAGCATTGCCGGGTCCCGAGGACGAGCCTGTGGCTCACTCTGCTCACCGGGTCGGTATCCGCAACGTCCCGTTGAAGCCGTTCCCGCATGCCCACCCGTGCTTCTCTTCTCACAGGGGCGCTAGGCAGAAGTGTTCTGTGTTGTTTACATGGTCAGCCTCGAAACTAATGAATACGTCTCATTTCTAATCATAGTGTATTTTAAGCACTGCCTCCCAATGCTTCTCTTAAAGACTCGGCAATTTAACGTCATGATTCTACAGGAGGGGCCTGATGGAGCAGAAGGAAAACCCGGAGGCTCGTTAGCGGCCTCGGTCCTATGCTGACGCTTCTACACAAAACTCCAAAAGTCATTTCGTCGTAAGCTCTACATGTCAAACCTGCCAAATGGGTCCTGGACATCGTGTTCCATCTGGACAGGTGGCTGTGCTTCTCCATTGACCCATAAGCTTACTTTTCAGGGACAAAAGGAAATCAGTGGAATGAGCGTTTGTTCCCGCTGAAATGTGCTCCAACACGGTGGACGTGGAAATGCGAAGCTGCGTTTCTAAATGAGCCGCAGCAGCGTTAGAAGGCAGCTCCCGGCCGACCAGGGCAGCTCACCACGAGCGTGTGCCCTGGACCCGGGTCAGCGCGCCCACAGCACATGGCCTGCGCTGTCTCCAGACTGTGAAATGGTCCCAAATTAAACTATTGCTTTTCTTCCAGCAGAGAGAAGGGAGGATGCATCTATTCCGACAGATTCATACCGGAGCTCTGTTCCCACGAGAGAGTATAATAAGATTCACACTCTATTGAAATGTGATCTGCATGCATCTTCGGTGCCTGGCACGTCTGTAGGTGCTCAGAGAAGCCGGGTAAATGGACGGATGCCTGAGAACCAGGGGGAGGAGAGCCACGCTCCCCCTTGGCAGTTAGGAAGCTGCGCGGGGGTGAGCAGGGCGGGTGGATTCACGTGAAAGCTGGTCAAGGGAGGAGGAGCATCCACGACGTGGTAGGAAACCGCACTAAGCCACAAGTCAGAGAGCTTTAGTTTGTTTCAACTCTGCAGACTTCGAAAGGAAGAGTGTGAGCAGGTCGAAATTCTGAATAGCGTGACGGGCCTGTCGGTGAACGCACCGAGTGAACATGTCATCATGGGGCACACTGTGCCTCACAATCTAAAAGATCGCGGAGTGGTCATAGTGAATTAAGATAAAATCATGTACATATGTCCGTTTACTTTATACGTACAAGTCGCTGCAGGACGTGTTGGTACGGCCACGCCAGCACTGTGCTCCCTGCTCCTGGAGGACAAAGCTGGTTCCTGAGTACAGAGTGACCTTCCTTAAATCTCACGCCGGTGTGATCCCATTGTCCCAGGATCTTAAATTATCCCACGCTTTTATGTTCGCTAAATTTAAAAACCTTCTTTAAGTGATGGTTTATGACACCTGAAAATGCCCTTTATTGTGAGATATATCATTATTTAATCCGTCATGGATGGAAACACCCTGCCTCATAAACTGACACAGTATTGACTGTGTGGAGTATCCCAGCCTTTGGAGGAGTAAACTGGGGGGGAAATGGGTTTCTTAGCATCCATCACACCAGGTATTTGACAGTCTCTGTAAGAGGTGTTTGTTTGGCCAAGTGCAGGAACCAACCAGTTAACCTATATGATTGCTGCAAACCCCACTGAAATGTTGCCTGTTGAGGTCCGTAGGGATCTGCAGTGGGCCTTCTTCCCAAGGCCACAGCTGGTCGGTAAAGGGTCCCCCGCCTGCCTGGAGCAGGAAAATATCCAGAGAAGACTGGAAAATATTCTTTTCATGGTTTCAGCCAAAATGCCTAATCCCATGTTCGTGCAGGAAGTGTGTGATCTCCCAACCTGTTGGTCACACACGAGCTTCAGCAGATTCTCAGAGACGTTAATAAATGGTTGTCAGATAAGTTTAGGAAACATATTTGCTGTAGTAGAGGAAAGGGCGGAGGCTTAAAATCAGACAGGACTGGTTATAAATCCACCTGTCGTTCATGGTCTCCCGAGAACTCGCCTCTCCCGAAGGGCACGGTGTTTCAGTCGGAGGGCTGGCTGTGATCAAATCAGACAGTGCCTGGAGCACCCACTCCCTAGAGTAGGCAGCTGCGCTGTCACCCCGCAAAGCATTTCAGACATCACCCCGAGTCTGAGAGCACATGGAGTCTACCCCCTGGACGTTCGGCAGTTCCCTGGAAGTGGCCCCAGGGTGCCCGTGAGGGGCTGGGCATCTGAGAGTCCTGATGCCTTCATTGTTTTTCTGTCCATCCTCGGAGGACGCCAGTGAGACCCGCCCAGCCCTCACTCAGACACCAGCGGTCCCTCGCACACCTGCTCTGTCACTGCCGGCCCGGGACTCAGCACAGCTGCGACCAGACTCGTGCCCCTCAGCCCCCAGGCTCCCCCTCACCCTCCTGCACAGATGGCAAGTTCTTCTTCCAGATGGCCAGGCCCCCAGCCCCGAGCTACACCACCGTCCCTCACATCCAGATTCCATCCTCGGTCAGCCCTGGGGCTTCTTTAAAACATACCTCGTCCCTTCCACTACCAACAGCCCACAGTGTGCACCTGGCCCCCGGAGGACCGCGTGACGCCGTTCGGGTGTTCCTGCTTCTGGGTTGCCTCCTCCCATCCTTTCAGAGATGAAGCCACAGCGAGACACCTCTGCGCCGCCTGCGGGGGCCTCATGCCTCCCTGGTGTGAGGATCTGTCTGACCACAGATGCCCCTTCACGCGCTGACCTCAGCTCCCCGGGCTACCTGAGTTCTGGTCGCCAGGCCTCAGTGTGGACGCTCCGCACCAAGCTTGTCCCCGCCCCCACGGGGACTTCCCAGAGCTCCCAACTCCACCGGGAGCGCCGTCCTGCCAGGACCCCTGGTGCGGTCACCCCTGCCTCCTGCGCGGACCAGCATCGCGGGTGCCTCTCCGGCGGGAGCCCGGACTGGCCGGTCCATATTTCTAGATAGCTTGATCTGCTTTGTGTTCTTAATCCATCTTCCACCGGCTGTCATAGTATTTTCTGAGAAGTTGTCGTTCGCTTGTCACCCCCAACGTCCCCTCACACGGACTGAGCGCAGGCAGTCCGTCCGCTCCCGGCGCCTCTCCGGCGCTGCAGTGAAGCCGGCGCCTCACAGGGACTCAGCTGTGTGTTGAATGAATACTGAATCAGGATTCTGCTTCAAATTCTTTTTTCAAAAAACGTTCTGCTGCCTAAGGAAGACTTTTTAAATTTGGAAACCTCTGATATATACATAGGCTGATGCTCTGCTTTTGAATTGCAAATACACTTAGCTAGCATTTGTTTTGTTTTGTTTTTTAATTTTAGCAGACTAAATAAAGATACAATAACGTACCCAGTTTTTACATACACAGGAGAGGAAACAGAACGGATGCTTTGGTTCCACTGTCTTTGCTGTGATTTAACTCGGTTCTGGAGACCGGGCCCAGGTGGACAGGCGTCAGGCAGCCAGGCGGGTGGCTGTCAGCTGCGGCCGTCTGTGCACTTCTGTCCGTGCCTCCCAGTGCGCTGTTGTTTCTTCGTGCTTTCCAGGTACTGGAGGTACAGTGAAGAGATGAAAACCATGGACCCCGGCTACCCCAAGCCCATCACCATCTGGAAAGGGATCCCCGACTCTCCGCAGGGAGCCTTCGTGCACAAGGAGAACGGTAGGCAGCGGGGCTTGTGCGCTCCGGGACTCCTGTTTCCGTTCGGCGGTCTCGCCCCTGGCCGCGAGTCACTGCACAGTGCCGCACGAGGGCTGCACGGTCACCCTGTCTCTAAACACCCCTCCTCGGTTTGCCTTTAAGATTCTGCTCCAGGTGGTTTTGTTTGTTTGTTTGACCTCAATTTATTTTAGTTTCTATATAAAAAATGAAGGTGATTGTTTTGTGGGATAACGCATAGTGGAGGGTATGGACACCTTTGAAGTAATGTCACCTGTTTTCTATTAAAATCCCCATGACGATAATAATGACACAGCCATGGGACAGGGGCTGGTCACAGAAGGTAAGCTGTAAGTGTGGCTGAGGCACAGAGACACCTGAACACGGGGCATGTTGAGGGAGTAATTTTTCACAGGCCTTTGGCTGAGACTGTCAGACAAGAAGGATCCCAGCTCAGAATTGCAGGCCTAATTGATGAGAAACAAGAAACGGGTCAGGGTGGCCCAGGCCCCTGTGCCCCCCTCAGGACTGGAGACTCGGCCAGATCCTCAGGGGGACGAGAGCCAAGCTGGGCAGCCCCCACTGCCTGGCGCCGGCAGTCACCCGGACACGTCTCTCTTACGCAGGGATTTCTAAGCAGGACTAAACCGTAATAATCATAATTTAAAACAAAATCCAAACACAGTATTCCAGAACAAAGAAGGGGAGACATCACTCTGAAATATACCGAAAAATACCCTATCACAGGACTTCTCATAGGAACCAGAAGAAAATAATGCCCACGTGGGTCCAGGAGCGGGAAAAGTCTGAAACAAACACACGGGATCAAAATATCCATCACTTAGCAGAACTAAAGTATCTTCCCACCTCACGTACATTTCATAACAAAAACACGGTTTTCTTGTATCCAGATAGCAAAGAGCAACATTGTCAAAGACTGACAGAGACACAGAACATGTCCTGGAAAATCAATGCTTGCAAATGAGCCAAAATGTACAGGTGTAACTTCAGCACAGCTGTGACCTCTGGACCTTGGCTGGCCTGCCCCCCTTTGACATCCTCGCGTCTGCTGGGTAGCTCTCCTTGAATGTCCTCTTTTGGGACTCAGTCCCTTGCCCTCAAAATCTCAGATTGCAACCAGTAACCCACATGCCTGTCACAACCGCCTTCAAGGCTGCCACACGGTAACCGTTCAGTAAATGTTAGTTATTGAAATTAATTGTATCCCTCTCATTACTCTGAAACGGCGCCCCCGACGTGGAGGAGACCTGTGCATCTGAAACCCTGTCTGGAAGCACGGTACCAGCGGATCTGGCGGTCCCGGTCCAGGGTGACCACAGCCAGTTCTCTGGGTTTTTTGGTTCTCCACTTAAATCTCATGCTGCAGCTTCTTACCTTAAACTCAGACTTTTCACTTTCTTCTGTTGTGTTTGTGTGAGAAAGAACAAGCTCAAAGCAGGCAGTCGAGGTGTTTGTATTCACGTTTAGCCTCGAAGTGATTGCCTGCAGGCTAAGTGGGGCAGGTGGTCTGTCAGCCGCGGAGAGATGACAGAGCTCCGAAGCGTTCAGTCTCGCCGCCCTTCCAGCAGCACGGCCTCTCGTCCTGGGGATGAGCTAAGGATAAAATATCTGATCCCTTAAAATTCAGCTATAGAGTTTTAAAGGATTTTTTTATATGAAAGTGGAACACGCCTCCCTGTAATACAAACTGATACCAATTTGCCCCCTTGACCGATGACATATGACCACTAGGTGCCCTGTATTGAGTACCTACTGTACATGGGTTGTGCTATGCAAATTTGCTTTCTCGCTTAATTGTCCAACACAAATGCCTCTTTACTTCGAGTATTGTTATTTATGGATGAGGAAAATAATAGCAGCTAGTTTTAAGTAACTTTTTTAATGATAATAAGTGGTAAGATTAAACTGGCACATTCTAGTTTCTCTAATGCGTGGTCTCCAAAGAAGAGGACAAGTTAGAAAATCTTTTTTTACACAAAATACCATGTAAGTGACTGGCGATCCCTGGTGTAGGGCTCAGGCTCCATCCTGTCACACTAGACAAGCCCAGGGGTCCAGGGACGTGGCTTTCTGAGCTGTCAGCCTCCTTGTTTTCATCTATAACCATTTTAATTTAACATTTTCTTATTTTCATCTTTGCTCTCAGCCCCCCAAAATAACTGAGTAATCCAAATGATCCTTCACTCGCGCAGAACGGGGGGATCGGTGCCCTCAGCTCTCCCACTCGACTGCTTCAACAATGGCGTGCGCTGTGTGCCTTTATTACAGTTGACATTCGGTTATGTGACTTATGGAGCGATCCCTCGATAAGCCTAGTGCCCACTGGCACTGTGCATGGTTGTTGCAATAGTATCGGCTACTCCCTGGGCTGTACTCTAAGCCCATGAGTTCCTAACTTATACTAAAATTGTAGCAAAGACTTGGTGTTCGCCCCCTTCCAATTGTTTCTACGTTAACGACCGCCAAGCCCCACCTCTGAGGTATGCTGTGTTCTCTCCTAGAAAAGGCAGTGTTTTCTATTCCTCACTCAAGGATGTGTTTTTATTGATTTTAGATAGAAAGGAAGGAAGGGGAGAGAGATGGGTTGCCTCCCGTACATGCCCTGATAGGGCTCACACCCGCCACCTGGGTTTGCGCCCGGACAGGGAAGGGAGCCCACCACCTTTTGGTGTAGTGGACAGTGCTCCAGCCCACTGAGCAACCCTGGCCAGGGCTTTAGAACATTCCATTTTAAGGTTAATGCAAGATTCTACCTTTAACACCGTTGCATTTCTCAAAACAATGATAATTTAGGCAAAATTTTTTCTGAAGTAGCTACTCTCAGTAAGCATGACATCTACAAGTGTACATCAGATCCACTCCTAAAGAGGAAAAAATGAGTACATAAACACTTTCTCAACCAACTGACATTTCACCATGGGAAAGCGAATCCTAAGTTATTGACTGTGGTGAATTTTGAAGGGTGAAGATGAAACAGATTTCTATCATGAAGCGTTTAGGTGGCTTCTTCTCCAGCACACTTTTTTCTCCAGCTCCTACCGCCAAAACTTCTTATCGCTGACACGTATTCAGGAAGCTACAGTTCTCCCTCTGCATTTGGAGTGTGTAAAATTGGCCTGCGGGCCTGATGCACGTGGAAATGGACACACATTTCTGTGTGACCCCGTGAGCTTCCTGGCTGGGCTGGGCTGGGACCCGGAGAGGCGGCGTCCAGCGTCGGCGTCCAGCTTGGGGGAGCGCGCACCTGCTTGGAGGCCCGTGACTTCTCGATCGATCCCGCCACTCAGCTGCTGTCGTCCACCGTCCTCCACTTGGCAGGTCGCTCGGAAGGCCAGCCGGCCCTTAGCACCGCGGGAGCAGGGGCTGCCTGGCCCTGAGCAGGGCGGCCGCCAAACAAGTGCCCACAGCCATGGTCCTCCTCGCCGACGCTTCCTGAGAGACGTCGAGTTCGGGGGTTGGTTGGACTGTTTCAGGAGCGGAGTCTATCACCGCCTGTGCTTGAAGCACGGGGTATTTGTTCACAGACGGGAGGTCTCTGAGGGACCCTGTTTTAGGAAAACCATTCTGTCAGGCTCTAGAGTTCCGCCGAGGTTGGCCCAGGACTCGGGCGTGTTATTTCTTCTCTGAGCCTCAGTATCTGTGCCTGGAGCGTTTGGTAACTAGTTCTATTTGACTGAGTGGTTATGATGAGGGTTAGAAGATGCCACTCACCCAGTTTTTAACACAGGGCTCCTTCTGCCACAGTAACTATGCAGTAACATAGGGAAAAGTCTACCCCCATGAATGGTTATTAAGTCTAAAGGAAGCATACTATTCAGAAGAGATAGCTCCCCAAATATCGTTTTTAAGTGATCATGACATTAAAATGTTTATTTTGGTCTCTTGAGTTTTATCTCAAAGCAAGACTTAAATCCAGGCCCGGCTGCTGTGGCTCGGTTGTTTGGGCGTCGCTCCATACACAGAGAGGTCGCCGGTTCGATCCCCAGTCAGGGCACATGCCAGTCGGGGAAGTGCAGGAGGCGCCGATCCATGTTTCTCTCTCACTTTGGGGTTTCTCTCTTTCTCCTCCTCTCTCTCTAAAAAAAAAAAAAAAATCAGTAAACTATTTTTTAAAATCAAACAAACAAAAAAGAATTGCATTCAAGAAAGGTAGTCACAAAGAAACTTGATAGGAAGGAGTTATGGGAAGAAAGAAGAAGCCGATTTGTCCCCAACGAAACCTTAGCGTCTAGTCCTAAGAAAGACACATTTGTGGTGTAATTGTCACCAGCTTGCAACGCCTGCCGGTGCTGGTCCGGGGCACACATCCCGTGCACTCCCGGTCCTGGAGCCCTGTGCCCCGCCTCCTCCCCTGGGGAAGGTGTTAGTTGAAAGTTTAAAGATAGAATTGTAGGTGTGTTCATACCCACGAATTCTCTACTCTAAAGGTTAACGGTGGCTTCGGGAGTTCTGTGAACTATGTCCAGGTAGCGTGGACCTCACGGAGGCTGCGTGTCTGAGTGCCACGCAGTGAGCGCAAGAGGGGAGACGCAGGGCGTGACTTAGAGCCCAAATGAGGAAAATGCACAGAATACTAGAAATGCCTGCTTGCTTATTAAAATTCCTAGCAGACAAAGAAAATCCCCTCTGACCGCATGATGCATGATGTGTTATGATTTGAGTGCAAAGGGCAGACAAACCTGTTGTTTAGGGAGATCACAGGTGCTTCCCGTGCTGAGACGCGAACAGCTCCCCGGAGGGGTCTCCAAAACAAGCCCTTCATGAGGTTCCTGCAAGTCCTCGGTCACAGCCTGAGGCAAATGGTGCCTCAGTTTACACCGTGGGACAGCATCTTCAGCCCAGGGGATGCGGCCACACTGGCTTGTGTTCTGTGCCCTCGATCCTGTGAGCCCGCGTTGGGTGGAGCCCCGGTCCAGTGTGCCCGGGGCCCACGAGCTGGGCCGGCCTCCCCGCACCTTCTGGGGGAGCACTCTTTCCGGCTGGGCCCCCTGTCAGTTCCCGGGCATCTCCACACACAGCCCAGCTCAGAAATGTCTTCTTCCGACACAAATTCGGGGGCGTTGACGAAAGTCTTCTATGTAGTCTATGTCATTTTCCTGACTGATTTTAGAGAGGGAGAGAAACATCGATCTGTCCCAGTATTCGTGCACTCATTGGTGGCTTCTTTATGCGCCCTGACCGGGGGTGGAACTCGCAACCTGGGCGCGTTGGCGTGACCCTCGAACCCCGAGCGCCCGGCCCGGGCTCGCGCGGTCTAGCGAATGATCTGTGCTCATCCACTTCCGCGAGTAAGTGGTTCCTGTGTTTTCTCCCTCCCAGGCTTCACGTATTTCTACAAAGGGAAGGAGTATTGGAAATTCAACAACCAGATCCTCAAGGTCGAACCCGGATACCCCAGGTCCATCCTGAAGGACTTTATGGGCTGTGACGGACCCACGGACAGACACAAAGAGGGACACAGCCCGACAGACGACGTGGACATCGTCATCAAACTGGACAACACGGCCGGCACCGTGAGGGCCGTGGCCATCGTGATCCCCTGCGTCCTGGCGCTGTGCCTGCTGGTGCTGGTGTTCACCGTGCTACGCTTCAAGCGCAAAGGGACACCCCGCCACATACTGTACTGCAAACGCTCCATGCAGGAGTGGGTGTGACACGGGTTCCGGCCGCTGTCCAGGTGTGCACAAGAGCTGTCATGCTGGTTCCTAGCTAGGAGCGGGCTGGTGGTGGCCCGTTCGGGGCTGACCTTCCAAACCGCAGGGTTGCTGGGCCTGCACAGGAGTGGAATTCAGTCGCGGGGACGCTCCCACGATGCGAGCCCCCGCCGTCCCGCGGTCCCTCGTCTTTCTCTGTCCTTCCGTTCTAGGCCTTTCCTCTGCACGCCCGACGCCCCGTCCACTCCAGAGGAGGAGACTGGGGAAAGCTTCCTCCACGTTCCAAATAGGATTGTCCTGAAGTCTGACCCGTTCCTGGGTTTGGGGGGAGGAGGAAAGCAAAATGGAAAGCCCGTGCATTTTTGCTTTGCAGCCAAGAAAATGTGAAGAGGTGGAACAGGACAACCACAGTGGGACTCTCAGGAGGTGAAGACCCAGGACAGCTTGGTCTCCAACGAGAAGAGCACTCCGACCTCGGAGAGTCCGCTGCGCCTGCCCGTCGGGCGGCGGGAAGGACCGTGGGGACGGCCGTTCTCCAGCCAACAAGGGGCCAAAATCTCTGCAATATAGTAACAGCCTTAATAACACTCCACTTTTCGTTTTCTACAGCCGTCCTCAGCCGTGCCCTCGGCGCTCACCCATCCGTGCTCAGCTCTGCTGAAGCGGGACCGATTGCCGGGAGGGTGTCCGGGCCTCCTGCCACCTCGCCTTGTCATTGTGGGACCCCAGGCTGTGTCCGGCCATTGCCCAGGCCTCCCTGGGTCTGTCTGGAGCACTCTCTCCAGCAGAGCGAGAAGCGGTGTGTCCCGAACATGGCGTGAGGCTGTGACCGTCGCTTCCGAGGTGTGTGACATCACACCGAGCGCGAGCCCTTTGGGAACCATCGAGTCGCAGGTCCTCAGCCGCGTTACTGGTGAACTTTGAACAACTGGGCGTGGTGACAGCGTCTCTGGCCCCGGGGGTCAGGTTTTCAGAGCTGATACCCTACGGCCCGTGTAATTTCTAAGTGACTTATGGTACCACGGAAATGCATTCATGACACACGCAGACCATGTGACTGGCCAAAAGGTTTCCTGGCAAATAAAAAGGTATTTTATTAAGTATTTTGTAAGAGTGAAACTTTATTTGAACCACTGGGGACACTAGCTCCCGTCTGTGTTGCTTTGGGCAGACACTGAGTTTCTGGTTTGAAGTCTGCTTCGTGGAAGCGCGGTTTGCCTTGGGACGCGCGCGGGACCCGCGGAGGGGTGGCACGCAGGCTCGGGACACGATCGTCCGGCGTGGCGGCGGAGTTTGCCAAGGGTCCGTGGGCTTCTGGTGTCCCCGTCTGCCGGTCACTGACAGAGCCAGGACACCACCAAAGGGAATCGCTGCCCAGAGTCCCTTGTCCCCGCTCAGTAGCATCTTTCCTCATGACCTGCGGAGCAGGTGTTATCACCATTCTTTTCTTAGAGAAAAGTCAGCCACCGGAAGACCCCTGTATCGATCTCTGAAGCGGCTTCTGGGGAGGGGTTCCAGCCGCCAGGCTGGGAGCTCCCGAGGGAAGGTCAGGGGACGCCGCCCGTGACGCGGACTCTGGCTTTGCGGGAAAGCCAGCTTCCCGGGCGTCCGCTTCCGAAACAAGGAGCGTTGCCTCGAACTTCATTGTTGCTGTGTTGACTGTCATCACGACGTACACATTGTCTTCTGTGGACATTCCTCTTGAAGAGTCCTGGTCTGTGTCTTGGCCCTTTGCCCTTTGCCTTGCAAACCGGCAGACACGGGGGGAATGGGGGGCCGCTCGCGCACTGGAGGGGGACTGTCCTCTAACCGCAGAGGGGCTGGCGGCTGGAGTGGAGAAAGGGTGTGGGTATCGGGTGTGGATGGACACCCGGATCTTCCGCAGTCGGATAAATACCCCGGAGGTACAAGTGAACTTCTTTCTCATTTTAATATTATTTCAGGTCTAAATTCATCATTTTAGTACAAATACAAATCTAAAAGGAAACAAAAAAAACTCAAAATACTTGAATGGCCAGCGTGGCTTTTATAGAGAGCAGGAATTTTATACTAGTGAGAATTTCTTACTCATTTGCTAATACTATCCATTTCCAAATGCTTTTTAACATGCGGGGTTACATTCTTACCTGGAAGTGGATGGTGTGGCCGCCTGGACTTTATATTCACGCTCCATGTGGCATGAGAACGAGGCTGCCTTTTGGTTCAGCATTTCATGGCTGCGTTGGGGAAGCGTTTTGCAATCCTGGGCGGCAGGCGCAGAGCCTAGCAGACTGCTATTTCTTACAAGCTGGACATACTCAGCCTCGGGCTGAGGAAAAGGACTAGTTCGAACAGAGAAGTGGCTTTGTCCCAGCGCCCTGCTGCGCAGACGATGTAACAAGTTGTGGGAGAGGCCCTGTGGGGCCAGCACCCTGCTGGCCGACTCCGAGCTTCGGGTGCAGACCAGGCTGGTGTCCTGACTCCGAGCTTCGGGTGCAGACCAGGCTGGTGTCCTGACTCCGAGCTTCGGGTGCTGGTGTCCTGACTCCGAGCTTCGGGTGCAGACCTGGCTGGTGTCCTGACTCCGAGCTTCGGGTGCAGACCAGGCTGGTGTCCTGGCTCCGAGCTTCGGGTGCAGACCTGGCTGGTGTCCTGGCTCCGAGCTTCGGGTGCAGACCAGGCTGGTGTCCTGACTCCGAGCTTCGGGTGCAGACCTGGCTGGTGTCCTGACTCCGAGCTTCGGGTGCTGGTGTCCTGGCTCCGAGCTTCGGGTGCAGACCAGGCTGGTGTCCTGACTCCGAGCTTCGGGTGCTGGTGTCCTGACTCCGAGCTTCGGGTGCAGACCTGGCTGGTGTCCTGACTCCGAGCTTCGGGTGCAGACCTGGCTGGTGTCCTGGCTCCGAGCTTCGGGTGCAGACCAGGCTGGTGTCCTGACTCCGAGCTTCGGGTGCTGGTGTCCTGACTCCGAGCTTCGGGTGCAGACCTGGCTGGTGTCCTGACTCCGAGCTTCGGGTGCAGACCAGGCTGGTGTCCTGACTCCGAGCTTCGGGTGCAGACCTGGCTGGTGTCCTGACTCCGAGCTTCGGGTGCAGACCAGGCTGGTGTCCTGGCTCCGAGCTTCGGGTGCAGACCAGGCTGGTGTCCTGACTCCGAGCTTCGGGTGCTGGTGTCCTGACTCCGAGCTTCGGGTGCAGACCTGGCTGGTGTCCTGGCTCCGAGCTTCGGGTGCTGGTGTCCTGACTCCGAGCTTCGGGTGCTGGTGTCCTGACTCCGAGCGTCGGGTGCTGGTGTCCTGGCTCCGAGCTTCGGGTGCTGGTGTCCTGACTCCGAGCTTCGGGTGCTGGTGTCCTGACTCCGAGCTTCGGGTGCAGACTGGCTGGTGTCCTGACTCCGAGCTTCGGGGGCTGGTGTCCTGAGAGCCCGCCCTGTGCACTGGGCGTGGAGGGCTGTCCACACATGTTGGCTCATCTACACGGCGCTTGCTGCTGGGAGGGTTTAAGCCTTTCAGGACCTTGATGTCCGGGGGAAAAACTACATTTCGCTAAAGACTGAAACGAAGAAGTCGGTCATTTTGGGACACATGTAAATCATTGAGGAGTTCCATCCACCTACGTGGAAAATTGATATTTTTTTCCTTTAAAATGAGAAAGAAATGGAAGAAACAGTCTTTTGCCTCTTTATTTATCACAATATCCGGGTTCATCCCAAAACTAAATGTACAGGGTGGGAAATGAGGGTGCATTGAGAAGGGAAGGGCTGAGTTCAAAATGAGGTGAGAAGCGGGTGGGAGAAGAGGCAGGGACAGCTCCCCGGAGCCCTCCCGGTTTCGGGCTGAGAGACGGAGGACAGGCGTCAGGCGCAGCGTCCTCACAAACTCGGCGTCCGGTGCTGGCTTTACGCCCGCGCTCCGTGGTCGCTGCCCCTCTTCCCCGGGGGCTGGGGAAACAGCCTCGGGTGAAATGGAGCCATGGAAGGGGGCGCGACCCATCGACCTAGCGAGTCAGAACAGTGAGCTTCCTCCAGGCAGCTGCCTCGTGTGCCAGTTCAGGGTCTACAGACACACAGCGCTCGCTCCCCCAGCCGCCCCGGCCAGGCCAGGCCAGAGTTTCCCAAATGGAAGACACACTCACAAACACAAAAAGGGCTCTCTTCTGTTGCAGGATTTTTTATGACATATCCTAAACAGAAATATAAACAAGGTCACATGCTTTACATAAATCGACTACATAGTTTATCGTTTTAGCCAAATTCTGTCGTTTATTACTTATTATGAACACAAATATAACGTTCTTTACATGAATTAACTACTAGTTTATCATTTCAGCCCAATGCTATCTTCTACGTGTTAGTAACTGGACAGAATGAAGAATTACCACGCCGATCTGTGCGAGCCTCTGACGCAGCCGCAGACCTGGCGTGACGTGGCGAATGGGGCTGCTGGCCCGTCTCAGAAGGTGCGTCTGCGGTGCCCGCCACAGGTGACAGGCGACAGGTGGGCTAGAGGGCTCTGCGTGAGGCCAGCGAGGACACCTGTTATCACCCAGAGGGCAGGGCTTTTCTGAATTGATGTAACAAAGCACCAGGTAATGATTTACCAAAGTAATTACTAATAAAGGAAGGAGACCGACTGACTGGATTATGCAAATAGCACTTTTACTAGTCAGATTGCTCGTCCTCTTTTTCTACTGATGCGCAGTTTATGTTTCATATCTTATCTAACTGCTTCCATCCCCTTTCTGTGTGTGATTTAAAAATGCAGCTCTGTGGACAAGGACTTTGCCCACCCTCCCCAGCGGTTCCAGCATGTGGATGATCTGTGGGCTGGGGCCCGGGGTGGGAGTAAAACCTCCGAGCCTGCACACTGTGCTGGTATCTCTAGCGGGGTGCAGACGCACACCCAACTTCGTGGGCCTGACATTGGAATAACCAGTGAGTCCATATTGACTAAACTCAATGTGCTACCTGAAGAGGAATGATGTTGTAATCAAACAGACCGAGTTAACACCAGTCGTGAAAAGAACTTTTTAATAAGGTTTGAATTATTTCCAGAAACCAATAAAGGCAGCAACTTACAGCCAGCACAGAGTCTGGGAGGTTGTGACATAGACAGACAACCCCACGGAGGGAGGGAAATCTCAGTGGAGACAGCAGAGTCTCTAGCTTCTGATGCTCCCACGAGCACATTTCAGAATGCAGGTGTCAGAGACGTTGAATCTAAACCGAGAATGTGACGCCCAGATGAGCTGTTACAAATGGCTGGAGTGTGACCTCCACGGAGGTGTGACGTCATGGGAGGTGGCGAGTGAACCAGTCGCAGGGTCTCGCCACCTCGTGGCCCCTCGTGCAGTGGATTTGCTGAGCACAGATTGTGCTGCCAGAGCGCAGGGTCCACGTCACTGGGTCCATGTGACTGGGTCCACATTACTGGGTCCACGTTGCCAGGGAGGGAACCACGCTACATCGGAAAAGTGTTATCAGTTCTGTTTCACGGTGAGATCTTTACGTAATGAAGAGGCCCAGCTCCACACCATAAACAC